ATTTACTTTGATAAAGTTCGGTTAAGTCAAACCAAGGTGACTTTTCCGGAGTACAATGCCGACTCGCAAAGAGTCATCGGCAAGATTTGTTCTCTAAATAAAACGTATTTTTAAGGTTTACATAAGTGTTTATATATATATATATATATATATATATATATATATATATATATATATATATATATATATATATATTAGTTATTAGTTTTCAATTTAATAATTTAATTAATAGTTTTTATTATATTAATTAATTAAAAATGATAAATAAAAAGAGATTATGAAATTATAGAATTAATATTTTTAAATTAAAATAAAAAATAAATTAATATTTATAATTATTAAATTAATCTTAATTTTGACTTTAAAATTTTTTTAAAATATTTAACAACTTTAATTAATAAAATTTCAATAGATTTCTCATGAATTAAAATTGGCCCGTGTATTTAATTAAGTGTAACCAATCATCATCCATAAGTAATTGGTTATTTTCACAATTTTTCTTCCTTTAGTTTCTTTATTACACGTAGCTCCAATATTGCTTGAAATTGAAACTGAAACATACACCTGTCTAAAACAGTTACAATTTTCTCAAATCTTGTGGTTCTCAATCACTGTGTTGTGTATAACATGTGGACCCAAAAAAATATATAATATATTATGTTGAGTGATATATCTATAGGAATCCCCACAGTGACAGATGGAAGACCAGCATTGGATAGAAATGATATGAAGAATCTGAGCCATAAAAAGAATTGCCAAGTGTAGAAAGAAAATCTCCAACTAGGTAGCTTTAGATAACACACGATAAGAGTATCTGTATGTAGTATTATAAATACACACTCATATTCATCTTACCAAATCACCATTTATAAGAATACAATTATCAAAAGCATAACAATCTTTTTCAATTTCATTGCAATATACACAATGGCCGCATCATCGTCATCATCCATGGCTCTCTCTTCTCCAACCTTGGCTGGCAAGCAAGTCAAGCTGAACCCATCAAGCCAAGAATTGGGAGCTGCAAGGTTCACCATGAGGAAGTCTGCTACCACCAAGAAAGTAGCCTCCTCTGGAAGCCCATGGTACGGACCAGACCGTGTTAAGTACTTAGGCCCATTCTCTGGTGAGTCCCCGTCCTACTTGACTGGAGAATTCCCAGGTGACTACGGTTGGGACACTGCTGGACTCTCTGCTGACCCAGAGACATTTTCCAAGAACCGTGAGCTTGAGGTGATCCACTCTAGATGGGCTATGTTGGGTGCCTTGGGATGTGTTTTCCCAGAGCTTTTTGTCCCGTAACGGCGTTAAATTCGGTGAAGCAGTGTGGTTCAAGGCAGGATCTCAAATCTTTAGTGAAGGTGGACTTGACTACTTAGGCAACCCAAGCTTGGTCCATGCTCAAAGCATCCTAGCCATATGGGCTACTCAAGTTATCTTGATGGGAGCTGTTGAAGGCTACCGTATTGCCGGTGGCCCTCTTGGTGAGGTTGTTGACCCACTTTACCCAGGTGGCAGTTTTGATCCATTGGGCTTAGCTGAAGACCCAGAAGCTTTTGCAGAATTGAAGGTGAAGGAACTCAAAAACGGTAGATTAGCTATGTTCTCTATGTTTGGATTCTTTGTTCAAGCTATTGTAACTGGAAAGGGACCTTTGGAGAATCTCGCCGATCATCTTGCGGACCCAGTTAACAACAATGCATGGTCATATGCCACCAACTTTGTTCCTGGAAAGTGAAGACTCTTATGTTTATGTTTTCCGTCAAGTATACCTTGTTGTAATGTTCTTCTCATTTGAATGTGAATTATCATCATTGTATGCATAGGTTCACCAATACTAGGTGATGTGTTTTTTCTTACCAAGTTTTTGTTCATTAAACTTTAATGTCATTAATAATAAGTTTTTATATTAAATAGGTAGTAGGAAGATTAAGAACCAATATAATTTGGAAGGACAAAAGTTAGTAAGTTATGATAGTTTTTATTAGTAGCAGTTATCTTTTCTGAATGGTAAAAGTCATTGGGTCTATATAAGGACCAATAGTGTATTTTATTTAACAAACAATATAGAAAGGTTTGCCTCTTTCTCAAAATAAATCAAATAACGAAGTCTGCTTCTTTATATCAATTTGGCATCAGAGTTCATGGCAAACATGATGAATCAAATGTCGTTGCCACGGCTAACGAAGTCAAATTATGAAAACTGGAGTATCCAAATGAAAACTCTTCTTGGATCTCTAGACGCGTGGGATGTGATCCATGAAGGGTTTGAAGAACCAACAGAAGTTGGGGGATATACGGCAGCAACGAGGGTGTTGAAAGAGGCGCGATCAAAGGATAAAACGACATTATATATGTTGTTCAGAGCTGTAGATGAATCAGGCTTCAAAAAAATTGCTGGTTCGACTACGTCGAAACAAGCGTGAGACACGTTAGAAAGAGTGTTCAAAGGAGCAGATCGAGTGAAGCAAGTTCGACTTCAAACTCTTTGTGGCGAATTGGAGAGGATACAGATGAAGGATACATAAATTGTATCTGACTACATCACACGTGTGCAAAAAGGTGGTGAATCAACTCACTAGAAATGGAGAAACCGTAACTGATGCACAAGTTGTTGAAAAGATCTTGAGATCTTTAACATACAAGTTTGAGAATATTGTGTGTGCAATAGAAGAGTCGAAGGATCTTACGACGCTCTCAGTCGAAGAGCTCGCTGGTTCTCTCGAAGCACATGAACAACGAAAGATGAAAAAGAAAGAAAAAGCAGTCGAAGAAGCAAATCAAACCAAGGAATCGAACAAAGACGAAAAGGTACTCTTTTCTCAAAACTTTCGAGGAAGAGGACGTGGACGTGGAGGTCGTGACAGTGGTAGAGGTAGCAACTTCGAAAGAGGACAATCGAGCCAACAAAATTGGAGTGGAAGAGGATGTGGTCAAAGAGGTGGTCGTTCGAATCATTCCAACTTCGAATGCTACAAGTGTGGGAAGTATGGTCATTACGCGAAGGATTGCAACTCCTACAAATGTTACAACTGTGACAAAGTGGGACATCTTGCAAAAGACCGTCGAATCGAAAAGAAGATTGAAGAGACAACCAACCTAGCCTTGGAAGCTGAATCGAATGAAGGCTTTCCCCTGATGGCTCAAAACGAAATCAACAACCAATAATGACAATGTTTGTATCTTGACTCAGGAGCAAGTAATCACATGTGTGGTTACACAAATACCTGTTTAAAGATATGAAGAGAATTTAAGATGGTAATGTTTCTTTTGGAGATGCATCGAAAGTGAAGGTCGAAGGAAAGGGCACAATCAGTTACTTGCAAAAGGATGATTTGATTGGATCAATCGAAGACGTTTACTATGTACCAGATCTCAAGACAAACATATTGAGTCTAGGACAACTTACAGAAAAAGGTGATTCGATACTTATGAAAGATCGAACACTGCATTTGAAGGACAAAGTAGGACATCTGATTTCCCGTGTCGAAATGGAAAGAAATCGAATGTACAAACTGAACCTGAGGAACATTCGAGAGAAATGTATGCAAATCGAAGTACAAGACAAAGGGTCACTATGGAATATGCGCTTTGGTCATCTATATCATGCTGGTTTGAGAAGGTTGGCGAAAAGGAACATGGTGCATGGACTACCAGACATGGATTTCGAAGAAAAGTTCTGTGAAGAATGTATGCTCAGCAAACAAACAAGAACCTCATTTCAAAAGAAGACCGAGTATCAAGCTAAACATATTCTCGAATTGATACATACTGACATATGTGGGCCAATCACTCCAGAATCATTCAGTGGAAAAAGGTACTTCATTTCTTTTATTGATGAGTTCTCAAGAAAAAACCTGGGTTTACTTCCTGAAAGAAAAATCTGAAGCATTAGAGGTGTTCAAAAAGTTCAAAGTAATGAAGGAGAAGGCAACAAACAGACACATAAAAGAAATTTGATCTGACAGAGGAGGTGAGTATACTTCGATGGCCTTTGTGAAGTACTGTGAAGAACAGGGCATAAGGAGATTCCTAACTGCACCATATTCACCCCAGCAAAATGGGCACCATATTCACCCCAGCAAAATGGTGTGGCTAAAGGAAGAATCGAACTATTTTTGACATGATTCAATCAATGTCAAAAGCAAAAACATTCAAAAGAATTTTGGGCAGAAGCAGTACATGTGTTGTTATGTTCAGAATAGATGTCCACATTCGAAGTTAGAAGACAAAACACCACAAGAAGCATGGAGTGGACAAAAGCCAACAGTTTCCCATCTCAATGTATTTGGTAGTATAGCTTATGCACATGTACTCGATCAACAAATAATAAAGCTTGAAGACAAAGTCAGAAGTACATATTCATTGGATATGATGAGAAGACGAAAGGGTACAAGCTCTTCGATCCATAAGCAAGAAAGTGATTGTGAGTAGAGACGTTCGAATGAACGAATCAAGCAAGTGGGACTGGAACAATTTGACAGAGGTTATTGACGCAGTCGAAGAAACAAATGTAGTTGTACCAACAAGTATTCCAACAGAACATGAAGAAACTGAAGATGAAGATGAACCTCTACAACCTAGAATGAGAAGTTTACAAGACTTATATGATCAACAAGTGAGGTGCATCTTGTGTGCCTTCTAGAAGATGCTGAAAACATCAGTGTCGAAGAAGCGTTACGAGACAAGAAGTGGAAAAATGCCATGGACGAAGAGATTAGAGAAATCGAACATAACAACACTTGGGAGCTAGTCGAATTTCCAAAAGGTAGTCAACCCATTGGTGTAAAGTGGATATTCAAGAAAAAGATGAATGCTCAAGGAGAAATCAAAAGATTCAAAGCATGACTGGTTGCAAAGGGATACAAACAGAAAGCAGGAATTGACTATGACGAAGGGTTTGCGCCTTTTGCAAGAATGGAGACAATTCGATTACTCATTTCTCAGCTGCTCAATTCAAATGGCCAATATTTCAAATGGATGTCAAGACAACATTTTTGAATGGTGTGCTCGAAGAAGAATCTATGTCGAACAACCACTTGGATATATGAGAATTGGAGAAGAGAAGAAGGTGTTGAAACTGAAGAAAGCTTTGTATGGGCTGAAGCAAGCACCTAGGGCATGGAACACACGCATTGACACATATTTCAAAGAGAATGGGTTCGAGCAATGTCCTTACGAACCTGCCCTCTATGTGAAGAAAAATGGAAGTAATGTATTACTTGTTTTTCTCTATGTTGATGACCTATCTTTCTAGGCAGTGATGTTCAGATGATCAAAGATTTCAAGAGCACCATGACAAGCGAATTCGAAATGACAGACTTAGGTCTGATGAGATTCTTTCTTGGTCTGGAGGTTCTACAGGAAGAAGTTGGAATCTTTATCTCACAAGAAAAATATGCAAAGGAAATCCTAGAAAAATATAAAATGAAGAATTGTAATCCAACTTCGACGCCAATGGAACCAGGTGCAAAACTGTCAAGTTTGATGGAGGAGAACGGGTTGAAGGAAGCAAATATCGAAGCTTGGTAGTAGCCTTCGATATCTCACATGCACAAGGCCAGACATTTCACTAAGTGTTGGCATTGTAAGTCGATTCATGGAGGAGCCAGCACACAGACATTGGAAGGCATTGAAATGAATTCTAAGATACATCCAAGGAACAATATCACTTGGAATGTTTTATTCAAAATTAGAAGACTACAAGTTAGTTGGTTATTAATACAGTGACTGGTGGGGAGACATAGACGATCGAAAGAGCACTTATGGATATGTGTTTTTCATGGGAAACATAACATTTACTTGGCTATCAAAGAAGCAACCTATAGTAACACTTTCGACGTGTGAAGCTGAATATGTGCAGCATCCTGGTGCGTCTGTCATGTAGTATGGCTCAGAAGGTTGATAAGCAAGATGGAGATAAAATAGGAAGGTCCAACAATAATACAAAGTGGACAATAAATCAGCTATCGAATTGGCAAAGAATCCAGTGAATCATGAATTAAGCAAACACGTTGATGTTCGATTTCACTTCATTCGTGAACATGTGAAGGAGGGAAGTGTCGAATTGAGGCATGTAGCAAGCAAAAACCAAGCAGCGAATATTTTCACAAAACCACTATCGAAAGAGATCTTCGACAAAGGCAAGAAGATGATAGGAATGTTGGATGGAAGAAACATTTAAGTTTACATAGGAGTTTTGTTGAGTAAACTTTAATGTCATTAGTAATAAGTTTTCATATTAAATAAGGTAGTAGGAAGATTAAGAACCAATGTAATTTGGAAGGACAAAAGTTAGTAAGTTATGATAGTTTTTATTAGTAGCAGTTATCTTTTCTGAATTATAAAAGTCATTGGGTCTATATAAGGACCAAGAGTGTATTTTATTTAACAAGCAATATAGAAATATTTGCCTCTTTCTCAAAATAAATCAAATAACGAAGTCTGCTTCTTTATATCAGTTTTAAACTTATGTTTCATGTTTTTTGTAACGCCCCAATATTTTATTATTTATTTAATTAAATATTGTTTTGATTATTTTATTTTTAATTCGAATTTTTATCGTTGAAGTCGAGATATTTTATTAAGTTGGAATAATAATTTAATCAGGTTTATATAGGTATAAATAAGTTGAGGTATCATTTTACTAGTAAGCTTAGAATGATGTTGGGCTTAAGCATGGTGTCGCGAAGTAATAAGGGGGGTGTTTTGTTTAGGACCATTTAAGTTACTAAGGGT